GACAGCTGTATATATATATATATATATATATATATATATATATATATATATATATATATTTACAACTTAATATACATAATATACATAGAAAGCATATACAATGCAAGTAAAGCATCTACTTTAATATTTCAATAACCTTTGTGAAAATAAAATGTCAAAATATGGGTTAAATAATGTTCCGTCATCATTCAGTGTAACAGATATATTTATGCAAAAACAAAATGACATTCTTTTTCTGACATGTACTTATTAAAATATCTAAAGGAAAATGTAATAATATAATACATTTTACATACATAATACATTTTATTATATTTTAAATTATTAAAAAGGTTTTGCTGACAAAAAAGTAAACTGTAGTGTGAAGGATAATGGCAAAGACAAGTAATGATTTCAAATGACAATTAATTAGTATTTGGGGGCTGTGCTGTGATCCTCAAATAGAGTATTTTAATGTAATTTAATGTTTCTTGTTCTAAATATGCATGACAAGATTTTTTGGGTGTATGAACTATTGTTACACTGAATGACATTTTAGTGAGTGCATGTCTCCTGTAATTCAGGGTAAAAATGTATTATAGATTTTATCCCTAAAAAAAAAAAAATAATAATAAAACAAAACAACAGGACACATTCTAATGTACAGGGAGAAACCATCATTTGAAGCTGTATTAAACTTTTATTGTTATTGTGTAATAGTAAAACCCATATTAATTCACAGTAAATGCTGTTCCACAATCACTCCATCTCCTGCAGTGAGTTTGGCCACTGTAATGTATTTGAAAATGCAGCATGATGTGCATGGCCATCTAGTAATGAAAATAGTTCATAAATCTATTGTCAACAAATGTGGAGCTTAAGGTCTCCCTGCGCTGTTCCCGCCAAAAAGAAAGCAAAGAAATAAACATAAATATTACTAAATATAAGTGTTATAAAATATATATTTTTTTTAAATCCTGCATTTTTATTTTACAGTACAGTACTACTAAAGTAATGCATTTCCTTAATGATTAAATTGTTTTACAATTTAATATAACAATAAAAACAACTATTATTATTATTATTATTTGTATAGCAAAGCAATTAAGACAGCCATAAATAGCAGTACTAATTTTACTATTGTAAAATAAAATTATCAATAATATTATCGATGTTGTTGTATGGTCATATAGAATAGGTTCCATAAAACAACAGGCATGACTTGCGCTATATTCGTAAATTTAGTTCTTAAGCTGTTTTCTCATGCATAATATATTGCGTCACATTAATGTTAAAGTCTCTAAAACTGGACTTCAACTATGCTTCAAAATTTTGACTAAAGTGCATTTCTATTTATAGTAAAGCAGTACATTTCTTCATTGATTTCATTTTTATAAAGTAATATAACAATATTACATTACATAATTAAACCATTAATGTAATAATAATAATAAGTATGTGTGTTACAGAGTGAAGCGTGGCGGTTTGCAGTTCATGATTCAGTGTTGGCATCATCTTGATTATGAAATCAATATAAGCATTATTAAATAATAGTATTGTAATTGTACTGTTCTAAAACTAAAATTATTTTTATTTTACAGTACAATGGTATTACTACTAAACTAGTAAATGTCTTTATTGATCGAATTTTGATAAGAAGAATTATTATTATTATTATTATTATTAGTGTATAGTCATATACAATAGGTTCCATAAATATAACAACAGACATGATTTGCACTATAAATCATAATTGATCATTGTTTTCTCATGCTTACGTTTACACAGAATGTTGTGGCACATTTATTTGACAATATCTCTTCTTGACAAAATGATTTAAACATATCACCTATTTTTTGCATAGTCTATCAATTAATATGCGATTACAAAAAACACAAAGTGCTGTTTAAAGTGTTCCAGATGAAGTGAAGCATCTCAACGGCACTGCCCAAATACCCCTGTACTATTTATGTGTGTGTTTGCATACTCACTTTTGGCTGCTTTTAAGGTCATCTTCACTCATGCCTTTGCCCTCTGATTTCTGAACTGTCCATGCTGCTCTCCTGAGGAAACACAACATCACATCACGTTCACCATCTCTCTCCTCCCACCCCAAGTTTGTACAAGACCATATGTAAGACCACAACAAGGTGAAAAAGAAGACACACAGGAAGGTCAAATAAAAACAGTCCTCGCAAGTGTTTCTCTTGTCGGTTGTGTATGTTTCACTTCCTCACTTTTTATATGATACTTCCACCCTAAAGAGTGTGTTTGTGTGTCAGTGTAGGAGTGAAGAGAGCGTAAAGAAACGATGAATGTAACACAGTTAATCTGGTTCTGATTCTGGATTAAATCGATGTCACTCACAGACCGAGCGATACAGTAGATGCACACATGCATGCTCACCCACACACCATAGACTGGTTTCCTGTTTCCTATCTTAGACTAAAAGTTCAAAAGGCAAAAATAAAAAGGCCACTGAATTAGCACACAACAATGTGCAATGCTCTCCAACAACCCAAAAAATGCAACCGATTGACTTGTTTTCTTTGAGAAATCACGCCATTAAATCAAATTGACAAAGATGTATTAAACAGGTTAAATGCATAATGACTCAATCAAAGTATTGCTGATGTTCTCACTTTTGCTGAGTTCAGCATTTCAGTGGAAAACTGACTCATTGGGGTTTGTAAACTCCCCTGAAATCATAAAGAAAACAAGAAAGAACCATTATCACAGCCCATAAAATCGAACATATGCCATCTCAAATAAATCATATATTATATCTACGTAGTTAAAGATCATTATCATTTAAGAACACTGCCTAGCCTTTAATTTATTATTTGGTTGTTGGCTGAATGTTATGTTTTGTAAGACATACATGTTTGTTTTTGCACTGCAGTGTTTCAGGGATATGGAATATCAATCATTCATTCGTTTTTTTTTTTAAATGACAATAAAACCACCTGACCGCTTAACCAATGGCATGACTTATTTTTTATAATGTAATAAAAACAACAGTTCCCAAGAATTTCACGAGCACAATACCGTTATCACAGAGCATAAGATATCATGAATAATCATTTAATAATCGACTAACTTTACAGTTAGAGTTGAAATTTAACTGAATGAAGAATTAGCGTCAGAAAATGTGTGACCCTGGAGCACAAAAGCAGTGTTAAGTCGCTGGGGGATATTTGTAGCAATAGCCAACAATACATTGTATGGGTCAAAATTATAAATTTTTCTTTTATGCCAAAAATCATTAGGATATTAAGTAAAGATCATGCTCCTTGAAGATATTTTGTAAATGTCCTACCGTAAATATATCAAAAATGTATTTTTGATTAGTAATGTGCATTGCTAAGAACTTCATTTGGACAACTTTAAAGATGATTTTCTCAATATTTCGATTTTTCAGAATCACCCTCAGATTCCAGATTTTCAAATAGTTGTATCTCAGCTAAATATGGTCCTATCCTAACAAACCATACATCAATGGATAGCTTATTTATTCAGCTTCCATATGATTTATACATCTCGATTTCAAAAAATTGACCCTTATGACAAGTTTTGTGCTCCAGGGTCACAATTGAGAATTTCTGATAAACTGAGTACTGTCCAAATAATTAACACAGCCATCCAAACGGATATTATATTATATTATATTATATTATATTATATTACGGGGCTGTTGAATGCTTGAATCTGATTGGCTGACGGACGTTCTAAGTTGTGCAATTATTTTCAGGGAAACGCACGGCGAATGTAGTTCCAGGCAGCTCTTGACCGCATTACATGTCCATATCACTTCGCCAAATGATTTCTGTTATTTCAAAGGTCCTTACAGCCTTCAACAGCAAAATAACCAAAACCCACAACTAAGCTGATATAATTAAGGAGGAACATTTATTACCTATTTATTATATACTACATATTTTAAGAGAATAAGATCAATTACGCAGTTTTAATTTGGCGGTGATTGTTAGTTCCCAGCATGCTTTGCACATGGCTGGATATGGAGATTATATGGAGAGTCGGACTTGTAACCCAAAGGTTGTGGGTTTGAGTCTCATACCGGCAGGGATTGTAGGTGGGGGGAGTGAATGTACAGCGCTCTCTCACACCTTCAATACCACGACTGAGGTGCCCTTGAGCAAGGCACTGAACCCCCAACTGCTCCCCGGGCGCCGCAGCATAAATGGCTGCCCACTGCTCTGGGTGTGTGTTCACGGTTTGTGTGTGCGGGTGGGTTAAATGCAGAGCACTAATTCCAAGTATGGGTCACATGTCAGTATCACTTCACTAAATTTGTGCATTAGGTGATATTTTATGTTTGTTGTTTTTTTCTTCGGTGGAAAGAAGCCTCTGTTAATATTTAATGTTCAGTTATATTTGCCATTTGAAAGAGTTTCTGTTGTATTGAGGTTTCTGTCGTTACCATTGTGCAAACGAGTAGAGCTTACGGTTAGGTTGTGGTTGTGGTTAGCTGCATGCACTAACACAATGAGACATGATGCTTTGCTCAATGAGCAGTAGCTTTGCTGACACCAGTGCAGTTACACGTTTATTTATTTTTTTCCTTTTTGAGCTGTCTAGCGGTCTACAGTCTTTTAACTGTACAAGATAATTCAACTTCAAATCCAAACAGGCCTTACTCAAAATCATAGACATTTGCAAATCAACTAAAAAATATTTGAGCACATTGCACTAATAATATTAAAACCATTATGTCATAGATTCAATAATTTAGGAGATTTCACATGATTTATTCAGGAAGATTCCATGAAAGAAATCAAGCCTTAAAAACTACTCAAAACTAGTATGTGTAATATTGTTACCATATTTATTTTATTTATTTAATTTTTACAGTGAATGTATGATAACACATTATGGCTAATTCATGCCGAACAATTAAATGTATTAATAAAATACTTACAGTACATTAAATAATCAAACATGCTTTAAAAATAGTTATGACCTTCACTGATAAAAAATGATTTCGTGATGAAGTAAATAATTTAGTTCAGGCAAGAATTTAAAAGAAAGGGTAAATTGTATATTAGTACTCAATTTAAGCTTGTAGAAATTAAAGTTCGAACTTATAAGTATATTTTACTTGGAATTGGTTGTTTGAGTAAATATCAAAGTTATGATCCTGTTGTGCCCATCATGCACTGAGGCATGAATAATTAATACAATTACATTTCTCACTGCTTTCGAGTTGTATTTACACTGTTTTATGGTTGCTTTTGTTGTCAGGTTTAGTAACTTGCTGTTTTGTGACATCTGAACTCAAAATGACCCATTCATACTCAAACACTGTCCACTGATTGTTACCATCATGCATTGTGTACCAAGTATTGAGTGCGCTTTATTCATTTAGGTAATAACTCAATTGAGTAGACATATTATTTACGTACAGTACATGTTTGTAAGTGAACCACATGCTTTAATAGCATGTTTCTTTTTTTTCAATGCTATTTAGTTTGAGTAAGTGACTGGGTGAAATGTACTTGAGTATTGCAGAGTAAACTTACTTAATCATACGCTAGATTTAATTATATCTGACTTGACTTGACTTGACTTGACTTAAACTTAAAATAGTGAAGTAGAAATTACTCATCAAACTCATCTAACTGGCCATGTTAAATGTACTTATTTCCTTTGCTAATTTTACATAACTTAGTTAAGTAGATTTTACTTAATTCCATACTTAAATTTTACTTTTAAAATGCAAAAAGAAAAATTAAGTTTATTATAGTTTTTTTGCCAGTGTTTTCTGATTCACGTCTGCTACCTTAATACAAGTTTATCTCATGTGATGCAGGACAAAAATACATCGAATGGACATCAACTATTTCACAAGCTCTGCAGCTCAACAAACATTTTTTAATTCCGATTAAATTATTCGAATACTATTTACAAGGGTGCAGTCAGGATCCATCAGCAACCATCTTCAACACCATTAGCAGAGCAGAAAAGCACTCATCTAAGTCAACATTTATGCGATAAATAAAACTCAATAAAGTGTCACGTAACAAACCACACAGAAACTATCATAGAAACCTGATCTTATATTTGCATTGTGCAATCAAACGCAGCAGTTCAATAAAAATATGAGCAGCAAATGACAAATGAAATCGGGTTCACCACATGACTAGCACTGGAGTTTGTTTCCACTACTTCCATTGGAAATACGTGAGGCTGGAGCACAAAAGCAGTGTTAAGTCGCTGGGGTATATTTGTGGCTATGGCCAACAATACATTGTATGGGTCACAATTATTGATTTTTATTTTATGCCAAAAATCATTAGGATATTAAATAAAGATTGTGTTCCATGAAGACATTTTGTAAATTTTCTACTGTAAATATATCAAAACTTATTTTTTTATTAGTAATATGCATTGCTAAGAACTTCATTTAGACGACTTTAAATGTGATTTTCTCAATATTTCGATTTTTTTGGCACCCTCAGATTCCAGATTTTCAAATAGTTGTATCTCGGCCAAATATTGTCCTATTATCCTAACAAACCAGACATCAATGGAAAACGTATGTATTCAGTTTTCAGATTATGTATAAATCTCAATTAAAAAAATGATTAACCATTATTGACCCTTTTCACACAAAGTATGATTTACAGGGACAGAGTTTCGATGTAGAAGGTGTCGAAATCCCTTGCACAATATTATGTTGTGACTTCAAAACAAATGTAACATGCTGTGAGATTAGAAAACTAATACTTTAGGACATTAGCGTCACATGCACAGCTTCATAGGACTGGGTTTTCTAACATTTGCATTTGTGAGTTGAAGTGATCCAGTATGAATCTTTCGTGAAACTACAGTTCGACGAAACAGCTCAAACCCACGTAAAAGAAAGTTAAAATAGCAAGGCTGCATCAGAAGATGCATTTTTATATCACTTTCGCAATCATTAACACTATCAGGTAGGTTTAGGGTTGGCTTTGGTGTAGGGGGTTTGTTATTTTAAAATTTTAAAATGTATTATTAAATAGTGAAATTAACAATCTACAATGGATAGTACTTCTATAGCTGT